CAATACACGTTGACTTGGATGCCACTGAGAGAACCTGGGCTACACGGACAAAGCTGAAATGGAAAACAAACAGCAAAGCCAACACACCATAGGCATACTCACAGCGCAATCACACTCATTGACGACGACCTACGCCTTCCAGTTAAAGGCAACAAAATCGCCACTTGCTAGAATGACTCTTGCACAAAGCAACGTGACCATAGCACCACCTCATGATACTCTTCGCACATCCTCTTATCTATTCACTACCAATTACCACTGCGATTGCTTGTCACTCATTCTGCCTCAGTTCTAGTAGCGGTGGCGTATGCAAGCCTCAGTCGTCTACACTATCGCTCCTCGGCGTGTGGGACCACAGCCTAAATAGAAACATTCATTCTCAATCATTGGTTCCACAGCTAATCCTCATCTCCGTGTGCATGCCATTCTCGGCACTAGCCTAGCCTCCCCGGCGTATACGACCCATCTGATGTCTTTAACATCAATCAATTCATTCACGGATGTAGAAGACTCAGAACAACTTCAGAAGTAATCACGACGAAAATTTTAACAAAATTATGCAATAACAACAAGGTACTAAAACAACGAGTAAACACAATGAATCCAAAATACACCAATTGATATGACACACCACACATATATACAAACAGTACACACAAACTCGCGGATCATGCCTTGATGGAATTCCTTGAAGAATTACAGGACTTACGCCAGTACGCCTACAACCCTTCACAGGTTGACGATTGTAAGTCGAAGAATGTCTAGACACAAACAAGATTAACCAACAATTACATTAATTGGAACCCACTCAATTACTTATCACAAACATATGTACAATCAATACATCAAATATTTTTGATACTGCCTTGACGAACTACTCTTGAAGAACTGTAGAAATACAGCAGTACGCCTACATTCCTTCTCAGGTTGATGATAAAAGCGGAAGACGTCCGGAAACAAACAGAATTATCAACAGATAGATGAGAGATGAAAAGAAATTCAGTATATACAACGTGAACATATGTACAATATAACAATCTGAGCACGTTTGCCTGCTCCCCGGTGCGCTAATCTTTGAGGAATTGTGGGACGTACAGCAGTACACCTACAACCCTTCTCAGGTTGACGCCCTAGGTTGGAAAATCGTCGAAGAGTTCATTTGCTGACCTCCTTCTATCATCTTTGTCCTCAACTCTGAACGATAACACGTCCAAGACATCGTGTCGTAGAATATAGATGACCAACAAACACACGACGTATCTGAACAACCAAGCGTAGAAACAGAGTAATTTACACCAACGATAACAACATTCAAATACTAACATCAAACTTGAAATGCCTTTATTCGCACAGACCAGTTCAACAATTACCTCCTCGTACAGATTTGGCTTATCCTCACTAAACTGAGCAATATCTTTCGTCTTTTTAAGTGCACCGATACTAGTATAGTGATAGCACAAGACACCCGAGTTCATGGACATCTCTGTCACTGTGGATGACAACACCAACGACGACTGAGTGACAAAAGTTGATGAACTTAGCGGTGCATCAGAAGCCGTTGTTGTTCGACCTTTAGAAGTTTATCTAACCGCAAGACCACTACCACTTCCATCTTTTATTATTAGCTCCAGTTCAGCTTTAACACCTGTCGATAGGTGGGTTACACGCTGATCATTTACACTGACGGTCTCACGAGTACCCATACATTCTGCAACCACATCTGCCTTTGAGTCTACTTCACGTTCAAGCTGTACAGAACCTTTGTTCAACTCATCAGTAGTAGGCATTCCCCTCATCCCATCATGATCAACCAAAGAAGAAAGTGCACTATCGTGATCATTATCACAATTATTCACTTTACCGTCGTCCATTTGGTCGACTTCATCATTTTCAAACTCTTTATTACCAGCATTTGATGTTTGGGGCCCTTCCTCATAAATCCTTAAAGGTTTTATACTTTAATTCTGACTAGTAATACCTTGAAAACTTATGGAGTCAGAACTGGACTCTGAAACTGTAACTCTCTCCTTCTGCACAAACTGCGGTGTCGTCTGTGACACTCTACTCAACAATGGCTTACCAGCTGCAACTACAGACTTCTTGACCACACCGTTACCGTCACGCAATTCGGAGTCAAAACTTGATTTCACATTTAGCTTACCACTAAACTTGGTCACCTGTTCACAGTTCGCCCTTGTATGCACCTCTTGCACACGTGTAAAGCACAACCATGTTTGTCTCACAACTTGTAACCTATCTGTTGGCGAGGTCCCACGAAACCTGTTACACTCACTAAGTTTATATGGATTACTGGACACCATAAAGCTTTCTCGATATCCACTTCTCTGAGACCCTTTCGTCATAAATGACTGCGTTTTGCTCTCAGACTTCTCTATTCTAGGCGTGAAATGCAATATACTGGCGAATTTGCTCATAGCTTGATAGACACTATCTTTTACCAGTTTCAGAATATCATCGAACTTTGGCTCGATACCTTCATCCTCTATACGAGAGCTTATCTCCACCCACTTCCTTTGCAGTCGAGTAGGTAGGCGTCTCGCCATTGCCTCTAGTACGGGACTTGCATTCAGATCGCTCATGTAATTCATCGAAATCAATGCATTCTTGTAATTCATCAGATTATCCAAAAACTCTGAGAGTGCCTTTTAGTCATCTCGTAATTGACTACCATTACCCTTAACAGCCTCGAATAGGTTCCTTACAATCATCGAAGGTCTTCTGAATCTTTGACGCAGTATACTGATGGCCTCAGAGTATCCTTCGTTAGGGGGCATCAACTTACAGCACTGTATAGCTCTTGAAGCAAATCCAGTGCTGTACATAATCAAAAACATCAACTTCATTTCATGATTTAATAAAAAGCTACTCAACATCATTTCAAACTCCTTTACAAACTGTGGATAATCAACTGGGTTTTCGCCAAAGTACCGAGGCTCGAATTTAGTTAAATTTAAAGCCTTACTATCCCTAAACGGCGAATCATGAACAAGAGAATAATCATGCTGAGCATCACACATATCATGACAATTAACAAGCAACTCAGCATTACTAACTTTCCTGCTTGCTTCCAAGACGCTTTGTCAATCACGTCTCATAAACCGTTAATGCCCAGCTCTCGCTACGCTCGGGCCCACGCTGTTCTTCGAAGATTTCAGAAACGCTTAGTTATAACGGACGAAAAAACCAAAACACCGATCTGCCGTTTGATATTTCTTTATTGTTACACCAACATATAAAAAGAATAAGCGAACTAAGGTCTGAAAACAAATATTACAATAATAAATCATTGTATTACTTCTGACGATGTTTCACTCTTCTTTCTGAACAGCGACCTATGAGACGATGACTGTCGTATTGATGCCTCCGCGAAAATTGGGGAAGTTGATTTTGAGCAAACAACCAAGAATTGATCGTTCAATCTTCAACTCCATTGACACGCTTCGTCCCATTTTTGGCCCAGGAATCACTGATTATTATTATTGCTCCCTTGGGTTCCTAGTGGAACATAGGGCTTCAACTGCACGTCTCCATTTTCTTCTGTCTTCTGCTATACTTTTCGCCTGCATCCATGTTAATCCATATTCTTTCAACTCCTCTTCACACAATCTCCTCCATGTCACCCTTGGACGTCCCACACGCCGCTTCCCTTTCGGGTTCCACTCGAGGGCTTGGCGCGCGATGTCACCCAGCGGTCTCCTCAGCGAGTGTCCGATCCATCTCCACTTTCTCCTGCATATTTGTTGGGTGATTGGTTCTTGCTTTGTTTGTTTCCATAATTCCTAGTTGGTGATTCTTTCCGGCCATCTGATCTTCAGTATAGATCAAGCGAAGACAGTTGTTAATAAAGGTCTGCAGCCTTTTGGAAATATACTTTGTGACCCGCCCGTCAAGTTTCTGATCCGTATAGAAGAACTGACTTGACGTTTGTATTGAAAATCCGAATTTTGTTGGTGATGCTGAGTGACGAAGATTTCCAGATTGATTTCAGGCTGATGAATGTGTTTCTCGCCTTCCCGATTCTCGATTTGACATCCTCGTCCGCTCCTCCTGTAGTTGAGACAATGCTCCCTAGATAAGTGAGTGAATGAAGTAACCTCTTTCAAATCCCTCCCGTTGATGGTGATTGACGTCGGATGTTGTTGCTGTTGTTGGTTGGTTATTTTCATAACCTCTGTCTGAGCAATATCTTTCGTCTTTTTAAGTGCACCGATACTAGTATAGTGATAGCACAAGACACCCGAGTTCATGGACATCTCTGTCACTGTGGATGACAACACCAACGACGACTGAGTGACAAAAGTTGATGAACTTAGCGGTGCATTAGAAGCCGTTGTTGTTCGACCTTTAATGTTAGGAAATTAGGCGACATCTAATCTCCTACATAAGAGTCATGATTCAACACTCCATAATAATGAATTTTCCACTTCCCTCTGTGTGCTAACCAAGAGTATTACAATGCTAATACTGCTCAGTTATTCTTTAGTGCGTCAGTGGCATAGCGGTTAGGACGCTCGCCAACCATGCACATGGTCCGGGGTTCGATCCCCGGCCAACCCACTCCTTTACCTCGCTAAGCCAGAAATAATGCTGGTAAAAGAGGAAAGGTTGGGCATGAGGCTAGCAACCCCATCCTGTAGAGATAAACACTGCTACAGAAACTTCAAGCCACTAGCTTGAAGCCCTATGTTCCACTGGGGAACGTGAAGGAAAAAATATTGTTCAGTTATTCTGGTTTTCATCTCCAAGTACGTATTGGGGTTTTTTCTATTTCCACATTTTAATTTTTTTCCATTATTTTGAAAACCGTGAAAAGGTAGCTCGCTGGCTTAGGCACTTGACTTGATGCCAATTGGTCTTGGTTCAAATTCCACTCAACTTACTTCAGCCTGGTTGACGATTATCAACTAATGAAGAAATTAATAAAGTGGAAAGAAACGAATCGTGTGTATACAATAACAAATGTGAAAAGTATAACGTAACCCAGGCATAATAAGGAGGCTTATGAAATCGTAAGAGATTTAAAATGACATATACGTCCATGAAACAATGGGGTAGGGATTTAAAGCATACTGTTACCCTGGGTTTACGTAATACTTCTCACATTTGTTATTGCATTCACAAAATCTTTTTTCTTCCAGTTTATTAAATTATTCATTACTTGATAATCGTTCACTAATATTACTTTTGTGTTTACACCGTATCATCGCTTTCATTTCATTACTAATTATTGTTATATGTTACTCCTTGAACTTACATCTGTAGTGTATCTCAATCTTTTGTTTGTTTCTCTGTAGTAGTCCTACTCTGTTTCACATCACTGACTACTACTCACTCCTTAAAACTTATACCTTTGTTGATCATAAGTAAAAAGAAAAGGAATTCCTAAATTTCATTTTACCCCATGTTTTTATTAACCATACGTTTTATATGGATTTCAATGATAATCAAAACTAACTGACTAGCATTTCACCTAGGACTTGTGCTACAATACAGTTTCTAATATAATTCTGATTTGCATTGACTTAACTCATCGTCTTCATCTCTTAGTTCCAGTTTTGTTATTTATTTATTTAATGATCTGATTTCGCGATTCTAATACTGTTCAGTCTTAAGAAGTCCTTTGCAATTACTTACAGTGGAATCATTCAACGTGATCATTTCACCGTCTTGACGATCAGTCTCATCATCAGTGAGATTAAGATCCAAATCATCTGTGTAACTCTTCCGATCACCAGTATGTCGTTCAGAACGGCGTTTCTAAAACAGTTGGGAAAAAAATTCATAGGAAACAGGTTGATTATACAATTGCTGACACACATTTAACACACAATTCTCCAGGAATTATGGATATTTAAATTGTAAAATCATACTTCAATATTCCATGTCTATTTCTCCCCCTTATCTTTAGCTCTTTCAGCGATAATGATACTGCTATTTTTGATCTGTGAACTAATTCCCCTTGCTATTCTCCAACTTGTGTTAATATAAAGTATAGAAATAATTTCTGACGCGGCAATTCCAAGTTTGTATGCTGTTAACATATTTCCACTCATCTGTTGCATTTAATTTGCAGTACAAAAATATTTTGCTTATAAAATACGAAAATGATGTGACAATGAAATATCGAGAAAAACCGTGTGACACCTATGAAAATAAACGAAGGATGTGACACTTAATGCTAGTTACTTCCAATTTCATCTAGACTTTCCAGACTGACGTCAGACGAATATTATCGAATGACTAAGCAATAAAGAAGCTTTAACGTGTTCAAAAACATAATAAAATAGTCAGAGAATCAAGATAAATAAATTACTACGGGAGAAGGATCTATGCGGGTCTTTAGGATATCGTATGCCGGACAAATCATATAGTCCGCATAAAAATTTGATTGTTTGCGACAGCAAATCTTTGTTGTACACATAAATTAGACCACCCAACCTTGATATACTACTAATAACCGAAAATTTGAGATAGTTCAATTGAATGTGTACTACTGTCAGAAAATTCAATAAAATAATGAGCGAAAATATTTTAAACATTTAAATAGTATGCATGTATGTAGAGGTTGGCAGATTATTCTTTTACTTTTATGATGAAATAATTCACTTTGCATAACACGAATATTCTGACAAATGTGAGAATGAAATAATACTCTCCAAAATAAAATCACAGATTCCAGGCATCAATAACGCCAAAAAAAACATGTGAGAAAATGAGGAAATATATTCTTATTTTAAGGTGGTGATTTCATCGAACTTATATATCAGTATAAACTGTCTGAATATAGGTAATCATTACAAACTTTTTACCAGAAACAACGCTGGAGTCTCCATAAATTACGCTTGATTTTTTAAAGAAAAATTGTGCAGAGCTTTCATACAGAACCACATGAATACAAAAAAGTTGCCTCAATCAAAACTAGATACATAAGTCTAAAAGCTCAAGAAAAATTTCTTTAGCCATTACCAAAATTTCACAGCAAAATGCAGCGGAAACGAAGACAAGCACTTACACTATTCGCGTCATTAACTCCCACGGATTGAAGTCGAACCTCTGAGACTCGACTTGCAGCACGACTGGATACCTCCGGTTCAGATCCGGAATCATCTCCATAGAACGCTGAGCGTTTCTTCCGTCTTATTAGGGTAGGCAATGGCCTAAAAACAAAACAAACTTAATTAAGCTGTTTGGTATCTATTAAAAAGCAATGTAAGGTATGTAAAAAACATTCAGAAACCAATGGAAATAACTTTCTAACAAATGGCCGACTACAAAAGCCTTTTAATAAACAAGCGGAATTCACCATATTCCAAAAAAGTATGTGACAGGTTACCACAACCACATCAGTTGACCTGATTATTGGTAGAGGTGAATGCCAGTGTCCGATGATCAGTCTTAAAACTATATCTATCAACATCTACATCTTCGTGGTGGTTTTTCGTCTTTCTTGGTATGATATCAATCAAATCACATTTTGATCTGGATACTTTGGATTCGCAAATCGTGTAATTTACATATGACAAATCTAAATTTCAGTGGGAAAATCACTTAAAGACTAGTTTCAGTCTTGAAATAGCCTTTAAAGGTTAAATGGATTTATAAAAATTACTCTACAAATGGTGAGATTGTCTCTCACTGCTAAATGCACTAAATATAAACCATTAAGACGAATTCTGATTAGTTATTTGAATTTTACATAGTTTAACAGTGCGATTAATTCACATATAGTAGGTGACTTATAGGCTAGTATACTGAAAACCAGGGGAAAAAAGCATTTTAACTACTGTTCCATCTTTGAAAAATATCAAACGATTCACATAAATATTATGAAAATACTAACATACCGTCGCTTCTTCGGACGAGGTCTAGCTCGCACAACTTTCACCTTTGTTACTGTTTCAGTTGCATTTGTTGAATCTGGAGAGGTCAATTCGGGAGACTGTAATGTGCTAGAAGATTCGTTCACCACGTCAGAAGAGAATTTTAAAGACTTTCTATACTTCCGTTTTTTTCTCACTTCAACAGGGCGTATTGAAGCTCGGCGCTTTCTACCGTCAGAAGCGGGAGATTCATCAGTTTTTGTGTCAGAGGTCCCGTCCACACCCTCTATTGCAAATGGGTCTGGAGCTATATTAATATTGGTCTCAGTGTCGGTCTTAGGCTTCTTCGGAGCACGACCCCGTGGACGTTTCACTGTCGGAGTTGCGAAAACAGATCTATCTGGTGTATTGTCGGATTGGTCCTCCTTAGCGGTGGCTTCGACTTCATGTCCCTTTCTTTGTTTTTGTTGACGCTGTTTGTCAGTTTCGTTCCCACGATTTAAGGGTTTACGACCTCTGGTTTTTTTCACAGGCTGTAAGTCAGTAGGCTTTGGCAGTATGGGCGTGTAGGACACATCGCTACCATCCAAACCACTGAATTTACTCATTTCAATACATTGAGTTCCAGGCATCTGTACACAAGACGCCACAATCGAATGTGAGGGTGCCGGAGCGATGTTTTGTAAATGTTGTCCATTTATTTCTCCTGTGATCCCCTGATTTGTGTTCAGTGACGACTGGAATTAAAAACCAAGTTTAGTAAACACTTTTTTGGCTTATAACAAACATAAGTATTTAATTCCACATTTTTTTCCTTCACGTTCCCAGTGGAACATAGGGCTCCAAGCTAGTGACTTGAAGTTTCTGTAGCAGTGTTTATCTCTACAGGATGGGGTTGCTAGCCTCATGCCCAACCTTTCCTCTTTACCAGGATTATTTCTGGCTCAGTGAGGTAAAGGAGTGTGCCGGCCGGGGGTCGGACCCCGGACCATGTGCATGGTCGGCAAACGTCCTAACCGCTATACCACAACATACCGCACCTTTAATTAGTCGTATCTAAAATGGCGACTGACTTCGCCACATAAAACCGATTTATAATATACGAACAGTATTAACTTCAGCCTCTACCGAATGCTTGAAGATGACTTCATGTATTAAAAGTCTAATATGAATGAATATATACAGGAAAGAGTGAAGTTGTGTGAGGATTTTCAGTCTGCATGGTAACAAGTGAATACATGTCATAGTCACCCTAAAGTGGAAGACTTGAAAAGAGTAGCTGTTTTTGATCATAGGTGCCTGCATTCTATCTCCCGTGCTAACTGGTATAATAGGGTAAGCAATATTGAAGTTAAGCGTCGAGTGCTAGATAAGGAAGGGAAAGCAGTCGACGAGGCTGTGAAGCTACATCGACTGAGATGATTAGGACATGTGTTACGTATGCCTAGCCATCCATCACTTTACTCGACGGGGAATGTTAGCTGACATAAAATAGATCAGGTTGGAAAAGAGCCAGTGGTGGTCAAACGAAAACATGGCTTCATCAGTCAATGAAATCCACAAGTTAAAGTCAGCCAGCCACGTAGGAAGGTGTAGACTTCCTGGTTGGCAGGTTGGGGGCATCGGGGCGGTAAAAACCAATGGCTGGAGACAATCGGTGATATGGCTCAAAAACGTTCTAAATGGTGCAGATGCATCCATTCCTTGTGACTTATAATTTCCAATGAAACTATATCGTTACCCATTAACACTATTCTTTTCGCCTCATATGCATGTCTACTGTCTCTATTTTGCATTTATTCTTCCTTCTCTTGCTTTGTATGCTACTTGGAGTGTAGCTACTCGAACTGCTACACATCGGTGCAAAGTTCTATGTTGAAAACAGACAGACAGGTATACTAAAAGATAATTTACAAATTCAGCTTAGCAACTGAAGTAAATATGGTTTTGAAACACCTGAAGTTCGACAAGGATTTGCTTGGTTTTAGTCTGAGTTGGGAATGTCAACTGGCATCACTAACCAAGTCAAATACTTTGCTTTATACTCGTAAACTTATGGACCTAATACCACTAAGAAAAATCATGAAATAAGTCTGTAACAAACTGCACAATGCGAATTTTTTAATTCAAATATTTTAAGTGAAGTAATTGAACTTTCCAAGGGAATGATATTGCTGCTAGCATATATTAATATGAATGGCAAGAAATAGCAACTATTATTATCAGCCTTCACTGTCTACTCTTGAAATTAACACTCGTGATATACAATGTTAAGCCAGTGCGTAACAGTTATGAGATAACCTAAATATTATCTTAACAGTTTCTCTTGAGTATATGCCACCAATTATTACATGCTAACTCATTATAATAAAGAATAAACCACTTACTTGATAATGTTGATTCCACTGGCTCGTAACACTCATACTTGGTCGAGAATCTTGGCTCAGCGAAACATACTGTCCGTAATTTTGATACGACTGAGAAAAACTAACAGGAGTAATTGGTAAGGAATCACTACACGACGACTCCGAGACATTTTTACGGAACACACTGTAAGAAGCATCAGGAACACTTTCAAGCTGCTGACTTTCGTTTGCTTGTCGATAATGTATTGTAGACCCATGAGGAGTCTGCTGAGCATTTTCAAAAGTTAGTGGGAACGAGTGAGTATCCACCGATCCTAACACAGTACTTTGAGTGCTACACACCCTTATTTTGGAGATATCACCTTCAGAGTTGCCGATGATACAGGTGGACACGCGAGGAACGTTTCCAGACTTTAACTGTGAATCTTCGAAAGTCTGGTGGTTTCTTGGTAGATTCGAAGAACTGGGAACGGTAACGTTACTTTGAGCTAATGTTGCACTTGGTGATGAAACTGAGTCCTGTCCCTGCTGATGCACAGAGCTTTCCAAAAAACCATTAGACACACTTGTTCCCGGATAAAAACTAGACATACAACTCGTAGTTATACATGAATTCACACTATTATTGTTGTTTGAGGATGTGATATGGATGGAATCCGAAATGTTGCCAGACTGGTTGGGTGCGGTAGGCGCATCGTTCACTGTGGACATAGTCCTTTCACCATAGCAGAAAGGGATACTGTTTGACGCAACTGTTTGATTGGCTGGTGGGCACTGAGGAGTCGGATACCCACTTGGTGTCGAAACAGGGAAATTTTCACTTACATCAGAAGCACTATTTGATAAATGTGGTGAAACGTATGCGTACGAGGAACTTGGGACAGTAGTCGGGACAGATGAAATGCAGGTCACAACGCAGACAGAAGAATTATTACTCTCAAGTGAATTATTTATTGCATCATTTGGACCAAAACCCAATCGGAGGTTGGAACTACTGTTGTTTGTACAGGCTAATTTGGGGTCAGCAAGGTATCTTGGAGGTGGGTACATGGAGGAAGTCTGAGTAAAACTCATTTGAGAGGAATGTGATGCATTATCGACTATCCTATCATTACAATTCTGAGGTGCGTAGAATGGTTGAAGGGATGATTTGTCAGAAACGACACCAGATGATTCCAAGTTCCTCAACTTCTCCTGTAAAAAAGCGATTTCTTGTTGAACAGATGGAGAAGTAGAAGACATGCGGTATAACTGCGACAAGCGGTCACAAATCCTGTTAGACTCCTCTTTCTGCATAGCTACCTTTGGAACTGACTTAAAATCAGCATTATGCATATACGAACAACCTGGATCTGTTTGCAAACCATGATATTGGGTGCTAGGTTGTGTCTGGTTGGAATGCTGGAAGACAGAATCCTTACTTCCATTTACATAAGTTGGGACACCTACTGCCTTTGGTGGCAGGTTTTGACCATTGGGGGCACGGTATGCAAACTGATTTTGAGGATGTATATCGTTAACATGAGGATGAAGTCTTACTAAACGTGGATCACCTGGCTGTACATTGTAAGTTTGTGAAACATAGGAAGAGTTCTGTCGCCAACCATGTTCAGGTCTTTCATAATAAGTACCACATCTAGGCGCAACTAACTGCTGACGACTATTACTACAATCATACTGAGATCCTGGATTAGAATAACCTAAAGGCGGATTTGTATACATCCTAGGGTCATAACGAACTGGTTGTTGTTGAGGAACGTTAAACCTGGACTCGTATCCATAGTAAGCAGGCATTTGTTGCTGAAAATGGCCAGTAAAGTTGGAATTGTTTTGAATACTTGGATGAGCGGCTGTATAGCAGCAGGATGCTGGGTCATTCAAGTCCTCCAGAAAACTGGTTGATTCAACACTGTAGGATCTGTATTGATGCTCCATTCACGGAGAGGAAGCCTTAAAACTTTTTTTCCTTTTGTATTAGTCCAAAATAAGTCATATGGGTAGTAATAATACAACGAGACCCATAATCACAAAAAAGTTGCCATCTTTCATTCTAAAAACACCGCCTTTGAGTGACCTAGTTTAACCCTGAAACGACGTGACTAAAGCCCGAATAATGATTTTTCATATCAGATGTGTTTTTCGACTTTTAACAGAAAATGTGATAACGTAAGTAAGAAGTGAATATCACTGAGACATCTTCCTTGATGAGAAGTTTGAAGGTTAAATTTGACCTACTAATCATGAGATCACGAGTCACAAGAGCAAGTTTACACTCAAGGTAATAGAATCTGGCATTGAAGATATATGTGTGTGCCACTGAAATCTCCCGAAAGTACCGTGCGTGATTTCTGCATCAAAAAAAGCTTCTCCCACCAGTCTTTATAAAAGTGCTCTGATTTAAAAGTAAGATGAGGCATCCGTGACGCCTAAAACTGCTGTTGTATCACAATCGTCTAACAATGCGGCAAATGATATAACTCCCTGAAACGTCCCAATGATTTGCATAGCGTTAACGTCCACGTTTAAGCTCCTTACTCTAGTGCTAAAAAGAAGCAGTTAGCGATGGATTTTCGGTAACAGATTACCAGATCACCAAAGATCGTTTCTGTTTCCTAGGTATAGGTGCTCCGCCATAGACAGTAATCGTGTATACTTGTAGCTGAGATTGAAGAAACCATGAGATGGTACTCATAGTAGGCATTCATGAATGTTAAGGGTTACACCCTGTGATCAAAGTGCGAGTATTTAATGTAGTTTCAGTGTAAGGACTTAAGATAGGACAGTATCTTGAGTTTATGTCTTTGAAATGTAGCGATGGTGAAGTATCAGTATGCTTGTACTGCATCCCTTCGTAATCTGATTGTTGCTAAATTTGAAACGATAGTCGATTCTGAATGTATTCTGGTTACAAAATTCTGCTTATTTGCTTCAACCATGCAGATTTTCCAGTGGCATTTGTGTTAGCGATCAAAGGAGGTCGACAAGCCGGTTGAATATAAGCCATTTCATAGTGAACGTTGGGTTCAGTTTTCCGTGCCGATTGAAACACAAGGTGGTCGAGATCAATTTCAAGGGACAAGACCTCAGCAGCTTCGTGATAATCTCTGTTCGCTTCTTGGGCAGTGTTAGGGGAAGACAGGCTGAAGTGTCGGCAGGTAGTGTGGTTACAGCCCAGGTCTAACGGGACACATGACCATGTGGTGAGAGCAGGCTGCTAGCCGATTGGTTGGCACTAATCTACGTTAAGGTCTAGGTCACTAATATGGGCCGTGAACAAGCCTGAGTCAACAACCAATCACAGCAAAGTTAACGTGGCAAAATATGATTCGCAGAGAGAACTCTATTTGCCAAGGAATCCCGAAACAACCAATCAGAAGCCTGCGTTTGTCTACCTAAACAACCAATCAGATGAATGCGCTTGTCTATAATAATGTAGTTGAAAGATGTATAAATACGTGTTGATTTTCATAATAAAACGATCTGTTGCCTGGCCCTTGTCTTCTGTTGTTACATTTGGTGTCGCTGCCTACCGACAAATGAAAAGCCTATACCCTGCAGTTTTTGATGGAGACATATGGATCTTCGGGCAGGACTTCAAGGCTTCTGCGCAGTTGAGTGGCGTTCAAGATCTGTCAGCGATGGAGCTGCTACTTGAGACGCTGCTGGGAGGTCGGGCGAAAGCAGCATATGAAGGTGTCGGCCGAAGTATGGACGAATGTTCGACAGGGTCAGGCAAACAGTTTCCAAAGTGGGAAGGACCATATATGGTCACTTCGAGATGGGGTTACGCAGACACAGTCGCAATGGCGAACAATGAGAGGCGCGTGAACGTCAGCGAGCTCCAGAAATGGATACAGCGAGACAAGCCAACGATGACGCCTGCACCAAGTAGATCAAGCCGACTTCAGTCGCACGTATTTGACGGGGGGACGAGTGTGGTGAGAGCAGGCTGCTAGCCGATTGGTTGGCACTAATCTACGTTAAGGTCTAGGTCACTAATATGGGCCGTGAACAAGCCTGAGTCAACAACCAATCACAGCAAAGTTAACGTGGCAAAATATGATTCGCAGAGAGAACTCTATTTGCCAAGGAATCCCGAAACAACCAATCAGAAGCCTGCGTTTGTCTACCTAAACAACCAATCAGATGAATGCGCTTGTCTATAATAATGTAGTTGAAAGATGTATAAATACGTGTTGATTTTCATAATAAAACGATCTGTTGCCTGGCCCTTGTCTTCTGTTGTTACAACCATACATCATTCGTGGGCGTTGTTTCTGTTTGAAGCCAATTAGAGGGCATCTCGAGTTTGCACAAGCAGCCTGGTTAATTGGTTCTCCAGAATTATAAGCAATCATGGGGCAGGGTGGAACAACTACTCAGAATAATATCGATAAGTATTTGCTTTACTTCAAAAACAGAACTTATAATTCAAGGTGGTATTCCCAGCATTTGTCACAAAATTGCATTCAATTTCCTCAAAACATAAATAAAATTAACCATAGGAACATTTCCACATAGGCAGTAGAAATGAAGTTTGAGAGGCTGAGGGTGTTGACACTCACGGATAGTACGAAGTGTACTAACGCAAGATCTAATATTCACAACTTCAATAGTATTCGTCCCGCGTAGACCAAAAGTAAAGCAGAAACCACGATAATTGATCACCCGAATTACGAGACATATTTCGGGACCAAGTCGAAGCGCGACATGATTGCTTAGCTAGCCATGGGTTGTGCACGAACGAACGAACGTGACACGACGGAGTGCCAATGGCATGTCTGCTTAACCAAAAGCCTTCATCCAGAAAAGCTGACTCAAACAGTGAGGGCCGGCACCCAATGCTCAGTGATCAGTGTTGTGGCCGATAATTTTGGGGAATTATTTACCGCCAAAACTCACTGTTCCTTGGTGGGGTCCGTTGGATTTCATGCTTAATTTACTTCTCGTCCAGTGCCCGTTGCACCTAGAAAAGAAAACACTAATGCTGGAAACACTGTCCAGGAAAATATATCAAGAATAACGTTTGAATAATGATACACATCTATCATACAGAGAAATAATACGAAAAACAGAACATCGATAAAAATATATGATCTTTTTAGTGGACGTAACATCTACGGTTACAGAAATTTTTGTACTTATGATGCACGGTATAATGAAAAAAGTTGATGTTCTTGAGGAAGTAAAATATACCATAAGCTCGATTAGTTGGGTGATTCGCATCATCTTGTAATGTGAGATAAGTGTGAAGATGTTTTGGGAATCTCACGTCTCGTCCAGATTGCGTTTCCTTTGAGGTCTCGATAGAAGGTTCGGTTACACTTGCCATACTAGTGATTTCTTAGAGGGCTAACGAATATTCGATTACTTGTGGATTATTGGGTACGCTAAGCTCTAGGCTAATAGGATTGTCTTCAAAGTAAGCAGGTTTCGGACGGTCAATGCTGACGGTGTCTTCACGCCCTCTTTTGTCTAAGATAAAGAATTTATCCATACGTTTAGTGACTTTATATGGTCCGTTGTAAGGCGGTTTCAGAGGGCAACGCAAGGAGTCACGAAGAATAAATACACGTGAAGAAGTTTTCAAACACGGGTGAACAGAAACGTCTACGAACTGTGGTCGAAGGAGAGCACGTTGACTGAACGCATCGCCTTCGTGAGCTTGCTGGCGTATGAGGCGTGATCTACCGCTGGTGGGAAGCTAGAGGGAGAAACAAACTCACCTGGAAATCGAAGTGTTGTGCCATAAACTAGCTCAGCAGCAGTACAGCCAGCATCAGCTTTCAATGCATTTCGTTTGCCTAGGAGAATTAACAGTGTGATTCGGCTCAATGCATGTTGTTTGCAGCTGATAACACAACCTTCAACTCTCGGTATAAACGTTCTACCATACCATCAGCTTGAGGATGGTAGGCTGTTTTTCTAAAACGCATACAACCTATGATTTTAGTCAAGGCGAAGAATAAGTTGCTTTCGAATTGCCTCTCGCTATCAGTTGTTATGAAGGGTGAGTATCCAAAGTTCGCGACCCATCGTTCGATAAAGACGCGTGAGACTGTTTCAGCAGATACATCCTTGAGGGGTGCTGCCTTAGGCCGTCGAGTGGAACGGACAATGCAAGTTAAGATATAGGTATATCCATGAGACTCTGGAAGGGGTCCAACCAGATCTATGTGGACGTGTTCGAAACGGGCATCAGGGATAAGAAAGGTGACGAGGGGGCTTCTGGTGTGCCTTATCACTTTGCACATTTGGTAAGCTAAGCACGTGCGTTCCCATTCCCTTACTTCTTTATTAATATCAGGCCAACAAAACTGACGAGTAATGGGCTTGACGGTAGTTTGAATACCTGGTCGGGATAAGCCATGCAGCGTATGGAAGATGTTACGCCGATAACTTTCAGGCACAATAAGGCGAGAGGTACTCGTGGTAATCTCACGTAGAATAGTGTCTCTCCGATAACTAAGCGTTTTTTCGGAAACTCCTGCTGAAGCTCAGTTTCATCCAGCTGAAGACGAGTCAGTTTCCCAAGATATATATAGTCAAATTGGGTGAGTGAAAAATCCGAAAAAGGCATCCATTTCGGTTATATGGTGAATGGCAGATGAAAACTGTGAAAAGATATCCAGTTATCGTGATTCAACAGGTGAGAACTGAACTAAAGTTGAGGTCAGGGAGTGAGACACAGGTTTGCCGTCAGAGAAAATTATAGATAAACAAAAGCCAGCCAACTCTCATGAACTGTCAATGTCCAGCTCTTACTGCCCTGGACCTCATGCTGTCCCTGGAAGACTTTCAGAAACAATTGGTAATAACCAACGGGAGAAACCAGAACACTCGAGAATCCTTTATTCTTACGCCAATATGTAACCAACAATAAGGTTATTACACACAAGAACTAAGAATAAATGTTATAACAATGAATCACGGCAATACTGCTGATTGTATGTATGCTCCTCTGAACAGAGAACAATGAGACGAAGACTGCTAGATTGACGACAACCGCGAAAAATGTGGAGGAATTGGGTTTGGGGAAACAACCAGGAATTCATCGTTAAATCTTTA